TTTGGCCTTAGTCAAATTATGTTCTTTGGCTCGTTTGATAATGAAACTGCAAATTGAAGCTGTGCCTTCGCTGCTGTTGTGCTTTGTGGAAACTCAAATTGTTTGCTCACACCGTGCCAGCGATCCCTCTGTGCCTTCTCTCGTCTTGGAGCCACGCTAATGATTACGTGTTATCGTGTTGTAATTTTACACAAAGCCCTAATGATGAGTCTGGCCTGGGCCCTGGACTGTGTTGCCTCCACATTCACATTCACATTCACATCCATCTCCATCTGCATCTGCATCAGCATGGAGGCAGTCGAAACGATCGAATCGATCTGGCTTCGGGTTATATGGTTTAGATCATGGCAGCAGACACTAACTGCTCTCATCATGGAGCGTTAACAAGCTCATTTTTCTAAACTTGACGTGCTGAGTCCACCAACCAAGCAACCAAGCAACCAACCAAACGATCATCCAGCGGGCCATCCACTTAGCGATCTTCGGCCGCGGCCAATTTGCTTGGCCTTTCTGCGACGTTCCCAGTGGTTGGGATCATAAATTGTTTATAATGGGATTGAGCGTGTTATGTCCAGGCACTGGGCTGGATATCAATAAATGATGGGCCTAAATGCGTGCTATCCTTTATTGGGCATATAAATATGTAAAGAAAATAGAAACGGAAAGTCCTCTCATTCTCAGAGTTCATCCTGGACAGCGGCAGTTTGGTGCCGCATTATGGCTTCGATATATTTCTGCTGCTTGTTGCATTTCTCGGGACTGGCATCGGGACTGTGTTCCAGCCACCGGAGCGCCTTGTCGATGGCTTTCTTCAGCTCGGGCTGTGTGTGGTGCCGTGCTCCTTCAGCAGGTTGTAGGCGTAGGACTCCAGCTTGTGGCGTGTCCTCAGGTTCTCCATGAATCTCTTATCCTTCTCGGCGAATATCTCTGGATCTGGAAGCTTCTGTATGGCTCCTGCGGAATGCCAGTTAACTAGAATGTGCCCAACAGATGGTTGTCCTGGGTCAGCGGTCGTTCTCCCTCGTACACCTGAATGGTGACGAAGGACTGGTTGTCATTGGCCGTGAAAAAGGAGCGCGTCTTCTTGGTGGGAATCAGAGTGTTGCCTGGAATCAACTGCCTCATAAAGAGTTGCTTCCCATCGAAGAAGTCCTCGACCAGCTGCTGGATCTTGGGTATGCGTGTGAAGCCACCAATCAGCACAATCTCATCCACGTCTGTCTTCTGCAGCTGGGCATCCTCCAGCAGCGTCTGCACGGGCTGCAGAGTGGAGCGGAAGAGCTCCTGGCTGAGCTCCTCGAACTTGGCGCGGGTCAGCGCATCTACAGGACTCGATGTAGATGCACGCCTGCGGGAAGCCGGACAGGATCCGCTTGACCTTCTCCCAGATCGAACACCAACACTCTCGTTGCGGAATCCTTTCTATCAAAACCATAAGCCATGGCTGCGGCTGTTGGTTCGTTGATGAATCGCAGCACATTGAGGCTGGCAATTCTTTGTGGCCTGACGCTGGGCATCGTTGAAGCGGGCTGGCACCGTGACCACAGCGTCTGTGATCTTCCTGCCCAGGAAATCCTCTGCCGTTTGCTTCATTTTGGCCAGCAACAAGGCGGTGATCTCCTCCGGTGCGAACTCCCTGACGCCCTGTGCCGTGCTCCTTTTGATTATTTTCGACTCCCAGCGATTTTCTAAGAAAAGCTGCAAGGCCCAAAGCCTCAAAATTTGAATGTTTGTTTTGTTTAAAATGTTTTAAGTTTTGTTTTCTTGTAAGTTTTCCGCCTGAAAACTCGTTTACGGCTCAGGTACTGCCTGGAAATTCCACCAACCATTCCACCAATTACACATATAAAACTGTCGCAGATCTGGCTAAAGAACTCCACACAAACAATAAAATTGGATGATGCCATAACCAGCATTCAATACGATCGAAAGACAAAACGTTTTCCAGCTAAAAACCTGAAACGAATCGGAAGAGTGGGATGTGGAGGATGATCTGGGAAGTGGATGATCTGGGCAGCATATTAAATTGAATTTTTATGTTCTTACAGCCCTGGAAAATCATGTGCCAGGCCATAAAAGCCAGCCACGGGACTCGGTTTTCTTCGGTTTCGCGGTTGAATGTGTGGGTTAATAAATAGCCCCCGAACCCGAAGTCGAATCCAAACCAGAACCACCGAGCAAGTGCCACATAGATGGAGGAAAGTGCAGGGCAGCGAGGTGCAGTAAATTATGGTTATTTAAATAAACAGCACACGATTTGATTTGGCGGCCCAAAAGTGTTGCCAGCGCGCCTCCGAAATTGGAAGAGCGACGCGTCGAGGTCTGGAAATTATGTTGTAGTTGCACCGATCATGCAGCAGTCTGGGGCACAGGCTCAGGCTCTGTCCAGGGCCAGGCGCAGGAGGATAGTTACCTCTGATGATGATGATGATGCTCTGTTGCTCTGCTTTGCACTGTATAGAGAGAGGGTTGTGCCATCAAGTCTTGATTGAGTAACGCCCCAGAACTGGCGTCTAATTATGAGTTGCAGGAGCAGCCATCAGACTGGGGCACAGCTGCGGCTGTGGCAGCGCCTGACGGTTGGGTAGCATCATTAGCTGATGTGCTGCATTGACCCGGCCTAATCGTCGATAAGGCTCTTGATAAGCAAACACACATAAAAGCCAATGTGCGTTGAGACTGGTGTGACCTTTTGGGATTGGATTGGACTGGCACTGGCACTGGCACTGGCACTGGTCTGCCCCTGCACCCAATGGCTGATGTAGAACAGGATCTGATTCACGTTGGCGTTGCGGTGTTTTGTTTATTTTGAGGCTATAATTTAAGCGGGTAATTGCACGCTGGCGGCCAGAATTTGTAACTAAACTGCAAATTAGCAGCCAATTCTCAGGCCGATTAATAACCATAATTATTGGCTCAAGCGCTGACGAGCGAGCGTCTCTCTGCTCTCTGCCTGCTGGAGGATCTTGATGAGGAGGCTGGCTGTGCCAGTGCCTCTGACTCTGTCTCACCATCCAAGGCCCCGTCCAAATTGCACTCGGCCTGGACCCTGGACCTCAGCTTGAAACTGATTCTTTTGGCTCCTCAATTGCCAATTCGTGATACACCGAGGCGCGTATGGGGTATGGGGTTTGCACAGTTTGCAGTTTCCCTCTGTTCCGTCCAGCAGCAATTTAAATAGTGAGCGCCTGGCTTAATTACATAAAACAGGCAACAAAAGATGCAGACGAAGCTTCTCCCCAGACGTAGCTGCCGCCGGCGCAGTCGTCAAGGCTTGCTCCTCTTCCTGGGCCACTCTTGATGGACATGTGTCTAATGAACCAGCCTAATTAATGTGCATGGCTGACGCTTGTCTCCGGCTCTTTCTCTGCCTCTCCTGGCCTTGGCATCCCAAGTAAACCCAAGAGTATATGGAAAGTGTTGAAAGGCCTGAGTGGGCAAAAGGATACAGATTGGCTGGCAAATTACGGGCATTATAATACAACTGGCTGAACAAATTAATAAACGTCGATACCCAATTAAACTGTCCGGCTTTAATGCACGCTATAAATTTGTACCCATTGCATGTGTGGTGTGGTGGAGAGGGGAGGGGAGCGGAAACACAGAACGAACGAGAATAGAGACATCCACTATCCAATTATCGATCGGGATGATTAACTGCGCGAGGTCAGCGGCGAAACGAAGACAAAATGCAGCACGAAAATAATTGCACAGTCTTTGGTTTCGCTTAACCGAAAACAATGTCCTGGAATGTGTGTAAAGGAAGCTGAAAATAGTAATCACAGATAGGTAGGAAGGCGCAGTCATTTTACACATATCCTTAAGTATTTATCTCTTAATCCAACATTTATAAATGTTTCAGCGGGCATTCAGAAAACGATCAAGAGCTATCGATACTTTCAGTACAACGATGTATCGTTGTACAAATACTCAAGTGGGTTTGTATTTGTAGATTTGTCTACATCAGACCTGGCTCACTGGTGCCACCTAGGGACAAGCTATAGCAACTCGCCTTAACAACTCGATTTTATATTCAGTTTCTTCAGAGGGAGCATCTTGACCTTCTCTTGGGTGGCCTATCTGAAGCAAGAAGTAATGCGCCTATTTGCAGATCAATTAGATAAGACCTATTTTGGCAGCGAATTGAATGTGAATTAGCCTCTGTCCATCCAGAAAGTCCCTTCCCGAAAAGTGTAACTCAAGCTAAGTTACCACCGTTCAACAATTTTAAATAAACGTTTTCATGCCGGGTAAAAAAAGAAATACAACTAGCGATAGTTTTGCAGCCCTCTCTCCTTCGCGGTATGTCAAATTGTTTTCGGTATATTTCAAGGTGATGGCACTACTATACTATAGGGAATATGGGAAGGTAAGTTAAGCAGGTGAAAAGGACGAGCATTTTTTAAGGCCCTCACCTTTCCCTCACCAGAGGAGAGCTTGTTGGGATATTAAAGAAAAGGAAATTAACAAATTTTCTAGACGCATGTGGGGCAAAATGTGATTGTAGACGCTTGCAAATAACAAGAATGAGTTTTACAAATACATCAAATTAGGAATCTAATTAAATACATGTCTATCTGAGAAAAATTCTTATATAAGTCTCAAAGCAACTTAAAAAAAAAGGGTATATAAATATCCATATTCCTCACCTTTGTTTTTCAAATGTATCAAATGTGTAATTACAGTGTAGCTAATATGTAAAATAAAAGGGAACTTCTGTGCACCTTCTTTGCTTGAACCAATCCTTAAGTACATTCCAATGAAAAGGAGTCTTACAAAATAAGCTAGATTGTAGATAATTGATTAATCAATCTGATCAAATTAACGTTGCAACGCTGAAATTCCTAACTGACTGGTTAAACTAATCAGAACCTCACAATTGAAGAATCTGATTTGTGATCCATAGTATATTTACGATATACTTGAAATTGAGACGGTATATTTCGGTTTTATTTTCGAAGGGACAGACGGGATATTTTATCGATAAGTCTACGGTCACACTGGTGATAAGCGGTTGGTTGATTTTATTTTGTTTTTATCGCGAAATGTGTAATGATTAAAAATAAATGCAATATCCGAGAGTAAACAACAGTGATAAAGCGTGAAATGTGTCAGCTGGCTACAGCAGCACCGCTTCCATAGAACTGTCAAGGTATGGCCTCAGAACGGAGCTCGCCCTGTGTGGGAGTCTCAAATTGGAATCATCTTCCGTGTGTGTGTGTATTTGTGCGTGCGAGTGTTTGTGACAATAAAATATGAAAATAAACGTAGAATGTTTACCTATACTATACCTTTTGCACCGCCTTTTGTTGAACGACACCAAATAGGGTAAAAGTTATGTGGCGGCACCTGTTTTATAACTGATCATTTTGGCTACGAGTGATTTCTGGATCTCCGCACAGATTCCTTGTACAGGAAAAATCAATAAAAGTCCAATTGGGACCTTTTATGAATCGGTGTTTGTGTGTGCATGCGTGTGTGTGTTTGTGAGGGGGTTGGATGGCGATTGTATACTCCTTTATCACCATTTAGCTCTTACTTTTTCAACTTTTTGTTGCTGCAACAGCAGCAAAGTGATTGTGAGGCACGCCTAATTGATAAGTATTTTTGGTCATTTTACCCACCAGTCTCCATTTCCCTCTCTCCATTCCTCTCACTCTCTCGCAACATATAATCAATCATTTGCCTACACATCGCAGCGTATTTATTTATGTATCTCTTTATCTGTGTGTTGCACGAGTAGCCACAAGCCACTTAACTATTAAGATATTAACTACGGAACGGTCGTTTAGTGTATGGGGTACACGCAACGTAACAGACTGTAGGATATTTCGGATATCTCATTAAAATATGAGCAAATCGGATTACTATAGGAAACATCTGTCAGAAGAACGATCAAGATCAAGATTTAGTGTAATTTTTGTCTTAAATAAGTAAGTAAAATTTGATTAAAATCAGCTAACAATATCTCAGATTTATGTATCCAGTGTATTACAATCTTCGACCTCTAAAACCTTTCCTTTGCCTGTTGTTTCCGTTTTTCTACAACATGCTACAATAGCACCACATACCAGAGAAACAATAAAACAGAGAAAAAACACAATACGAGAGTACCATAATACCACCATACGATACTATTCCATGTGATAGGCAATGGTATTTAGTTTCCCTTTTACTTTTCTACAATTTACATAATCATACTCATGATCATCATCATCGTTAGCAGCAGCAGCAGTGGCAGTAGTAGCAGCAGTAGTGCCGCAAAGACATCATCAACGTCCACTAACAACCAACAATAAAAACAACAGCGGACTGGCGTCGTTCATTAAACTATAGGAGCAAACACACATGGAGCAAACAGTCGGACGGGGGGGACGGACAAATACTTTTATTATTTATGTTCCCAGTTTGCCTGTTTAATTGCCTTCGGTTCCATAGTCAAAGCCATGCCATTCTGTCTTCCCTCCCGTATATCTTTTCGTGGTTTTCTTTCTTTTGATAATTCTCTGCCATTTGAGAGATATTTATTCGGTATGCAAAATGTGTGCCAAACCTATTGCCGTACAGTGGGATTAGTTAGGGGAATAAAGAGTTATTGAAATGATTACCAAAAGAACCCTTTACCAATATTCCCCATTCACTTATTGTCCACGGCTTATCAAATAATTCAGTCTGGACTCTGGGGGAAACCGCATAAATGACAATTTTGTATTCCCTTGGGGCACGAACAATGCCCATCCACTGTGCGGTGGCGGATTCCTTTTTCCGTAATGGCTTTTGGCTGTGCCTGTGGCAGTGCCCCGCGGTTAATGACACAACGAGGGAGGGCCAGGGGTATGGCTGGGATGGGAAGTAGTGTCTAGCGACTAGACAAGTGACGCATATTTTAGCATTCTTTGTGGCGGTACTTGGGTGCCAGCACACAGCACATCCATCCATCTATCAGGTACATACTCGTATGTAAAGGCGGATCCATATATAAACACAAACTATATGTGGATTCCTCCTCTACTTTGGCCAATTGTTGGACTGTTGATTCATCGCAGAGCTCTGGCTAGTTGCTCAATAGAACGAGCACTTATATCGCGGGAGTGTAACTAAATGATACATCAAAATCTACCCTATCAACGATAAGGGGCGTCCAAACTAAGTTTGAAGGCCTAGTCCAACAATCGAATCGAGTGGTGAATGATTGGCTCCGCGGTTTGGACAGTCCAACATTCCATTTCCATTTCCACTTCCATTCCGATGCATTTCCTCTTTGGCGAAATATTACACAATCGTTTTGCTGAGTTGCGGATTTGCATTCGAATTGTGGTTGAGTTTCCCAACCTCCTTCGCTAGTGGGGCAATTAAATTTGTTGATTAATTTGCCAATTGGAGCTTGAAACAAGATTTTTGCGACGAGAGAACTGGCACACACGCAGTACACGACTATTCCACGGGTCATTCCCCAAATCATACACTGACTTCTAAGAGTACATGTACACACACACACAGGAGTATTCCATGAGTGTGTGTTTGTGTGCATGCCCAATTTTACGGCACATGCGCCGCTGCAAATAAGAAATGTAAAGAAAATACAGCAGCTCCAAATTGCATTTTGCGCATAATTCAAACGGTAGCCTCAAATGAGAAAATACGATTACACATGGGAGTAGCATCTACAGAAGTGTAGCATCCACATCCAACACATCCACACTTAATCCATACACTCCTCTTGCTGCTGAAGACGCATCTGTATCTTTTTCATGCACTGGAAATTCCGCAAAGACGACGACGACGACGACGACGACTACGACGCCGTGTGCCGCTAACTTTCTAAAAGATGCAGCCACCAGCAATAGCAGCAGCAACAGAAACTAATCATGATAATGATTGAGATGATTATTGTTGCTGCCAGTGGGATATATGTATGTAGTCATGAACGTGCAATAGCTGAAAGTTGCATTCATTTCAACATTACATGCTGCAAAGTAATAGAAGAGACACTTTTGGGGTCCGTAAAGCATTGTAGTTCTCGTGAAAGTTGATGCGGAAAATAAGTAGAGCTAAATGTAGATACATAGGTGTGTCTTCGAAATCAGATATTACCATTAAATGTCCATAAACAAGACATGAGAAAAACCGCTTGAGGAAATTGGCTCGAAACAATTCAATTTGGGATCCTTTCACGAAACGTAAATTTGGTTTATATTCTTGGGCATTTTCTTTTGAAGCATTCGCTTGTGCGTTCCGAGCCAAGCATTAATGTACGTTTAAAAAAAGTTTCCCATAAGAAATCTGTCCCATTCGTAAAGAATAAATAAAATAATAATTCAATATTTATAGAATATAAAATTCAATTCAGCGACTGTCTCCAGTGTCTACAATTGTCTGTTTCTCAGAGTCAGATTCCTAAGTAAACTTAAAAGAAGAAAACTCATCTCGCAGAATGTGTGTGTGGGGTGCTCAGATCAGAGGCCGGCCTACACCTGATATGGCGGGGGCGTCAGGGCGTATCCATTTCAGCCGCGCTCAGCGCCTTGCTTAGGGGAAAAAATTGTATTCTTCTTTTTAGACGTCAAGTGATGACGCGTACAAAAGGCGTTTGGTGACTAAAATTAGCCCACGCCATGCTCCGATCGCCACTAGCCACTAAATTTATAAAAACAACAAGAAAAAAAAGTGTCATATTCTGCCACTCACTTCCCTTTCCTTTCCACTACTATTTGCAGGCCATGGAGCATTGACTTGAGGCACAGTTCGAGCAAGAGCAAGAGCAAGAGCCCAAAGCACAACGCAGCACAGCACAAACAGAGAACTTCCCCGTGAGGCTCCTCGGCACCTCCATCATGTTGGAGCCAACGCTGACGCCAGAGCTGGAGGATGTGGATGGCACGTGCCTGGTGGCGGCAGCCATTGCCGGCCTCAGCATAGACGATGTGCCAGAACGTAAGCCCCACTTCCTGGACTACGATGCAGTGCCGCCGCCCGACTACGAGGATGGTTTCGGAGCGGCTGCTGGCGAGCAGCTGAAAATGGACAAGAAGTACGAGCGGGATGGAGAGATCAGTGACTACGAGCTGGCCGCCAGCGGATACACCAAGAAGGAGTTCACGCAGGACGACAACACGCTCAATTTCACACAGAACGGCGTCGGAGCAGTTGGTGTGGTGGGCAAGAAGCCGGGAGCAAAGCATTTCCTGGATGAGAATCCCATACCGCCGGACTACATGCTGGCCCAAGAGCTGCGCGAGATGCGGGAGCATCGCAGTCTGGACAGGAACTTTGAGCGCAAGTCCGCACAGCAGCAGCAGCTGGAGGAGCTGCCACAGCGGAACGGTGGCTCGCCGGCCAGCTCGGGGCGGGCCTCGCGCAGCAAGGAGCCTTCCTATACGCTATCGCGCTTCCTCGACGGCGACAATCCAACGCCGCCGCGTCTGCCCAAAGGAGCCGCCTGGACGACAAGCTTCGACGAGCGCTATGGCACGGCAGCAGCTGCCGCTGTGGATGCCACACTGGGCTCCAAGGTGGAGTGTGTCTACTCGCTGCTCTCGATGCTGGGCTCCAACGATCCCCTGGAGATGGCCAAAAAGTTTCTGGAGCTGTCGGGCAATGCCCAGAGCTGTGCCACGCTGCGCCGCTCCGGCTGCATGCCGCTGCTCGTGCAGATGATGCATGCCCCCGACAACGACCTGGAGGTGAGGAAATGCGCCAGCCAGGCCCTGCACAATGTGGTGCACACGCATCCGGACGAGAAGTCCGGTCGGAGGGAGGCCAAGGTGTTGCGCCTGCTCGACCAGATCCTCGACTACTGCGCCTTCCTGAAGACCCTGCTCCAGAGCGGCGGCGAGGCCATAGCCGATGACTCGGACAGGCATCCGCTGGCCGCGATCTCCTCCCTGATGAAGATCAGCTTCGACGAGGATCATCGCCATGCCATGTGCGCCCTGGGGGCCCTGCATGCCATTCCGAATCTGGTCCACCTGGACCATGCGGCCCATGGGCCCAAGCCCGAGGATCAGTGCTGCAATTCGCTGCGTCGCTACGCCCTGATGGCCCTCACCAATCTCACCTTCGGGGATGAGAACAACAAGGCTTTGCTCTGCGGCCAGAAGCAGTTCATGGAGGCGCTGGTGGCCCAGCTGGACTCGGCGCCCGACGATCTCCTCCAGGTGACGGCCAGTGTGCTGCGCAATCTCTCCTGGCGGGCGGACAGCAACATGAAGGCGGTGCTCAACGAGATTGGCACGGTGACGGCCCTGGCCCTGGCGGCCATGCGTAACAAGAGCGAGAACACCCTGAAGGCCATACTCTCGGCCCTCTGGAATCTCTCCGCCCACTGCAGCACCAACAAGGCAGAGTTCTGTGCCGTGGACGGTGCCCTGGCCTTCCTCGTGGGCATGCTCAGCTACGAGGGACCCAGCAAGACCCTAAAAATCATCGAGAATGCGGGCGGCATACTCCGGAATGTCTCCAGCCACATTGCCGTCTGTGAGCCGTATCGGCAGGTGCTGCGCCAGCACAACTGTCTGGCCATTCTCCTGCAGCAGCTGAAGTCCGAGAGCCTGACGGTCGTCAGCAACTCCTGCGGCACGCTGTGGAATCTGTCGGCCCGCTGCCCGGAGGACCAGAAGTTCCTGTGGGACAATGGGGCGGTGCCGATGCTGCGCTCCCTCATCCACTCGAAGCATGCCATGATCTCGGAGGGCAGCTCCTCGGCCCTCAAGAACCTGCTGAACTTTCGTCCGGCGGTGCAGAATCAGCATCAGCTGGATCCCATTGCCCGTTCGATGGGATTGAAGGCGCTGCCCACGCTGGAGGCACGCAAGGCCAAGGCCCTGCAGCAGGAGCTGGGCGAGCGCCACTCCGAGACGTGCGACAATCTGGACTCGGGGGGCAAGCGAGCCTCCAGTTCGTCGCGGCGACACCCGGCTGTGCCACGCCTCACCCGATCCACGATGCTCACGAAGAGCGAGAGCCGCGATTCGGTTTACTCGGCCAAATCGGACTCTGCCTACGAGCATCTGATGCGTTCCGCTTCGGCTTCGGATGCCCAGCGCAAGGGACAGCCGAAGATAACAGACTTTGAGCTGGAAATGGAGCAGGATGCAGAGGCCACCGAGGAGCAGCCCATCGACTACTCGGCCAAGTACAGCGAGAGCGCCACCAAGACACTCGCCGGCACATCGACATATCAGGAGACGGACCTCGATCAGCCGACAGACTTCAGTCTGCGCTACGCCGAGAATCAGCTGGAGGCCGACCTTCTGGACATATCAGCAAAGAGCACAGCAACGAAGACGACAGCGACGCCCGTGAAGGCCGAGGGACAGGAGATACTGCTCATCCTGGACGATAGTGTCAAGTGCTATCAAACCGAGGACACGCCGTATGTGATCTCCAATGCGGCATCTGTCACGGATCTGCGGCTGGCGGCCAAGACTGAAGTCGAATCGGAGGTAAAGCCGGAAGTCAAGGCCGCTGCTTGTGCCGCTGCCTCTGCTGCGCCCAAGAAGCTACCAAAGCTGTCGCAGTGCAGTGGCTCCGGTTCGTATACACCGGAGAAGCCCATCAACTACTGCGAGGAGGGTACACCCGGCTACTTTAGTCGCTACGATTCACTCAGCAGTCTGGATGAGTCGGGCATCAAGGCCATGCAGCTGGCAGCTGGTCCGCTCGTTGCAGAAACGAAAGCAAAGCCTGTGCAGCAGCTACTGCCAGAGGAGGAGGAGGAGCAGCAGCACCAGCAAGTGGAGGAGGAGGAGGTGCTGGTGAAGCCCTCCTCTGCCTTGGAAACCCCACTGATGTTCTCGCGCCGCAGCTCCATGGATTCCCTTGTGCACGATCCCGATGTGGATGTGGCCAACTGCGACGACAAAAGTTCGGTGGTCAGTGAATTCAGTCGACTGGCGAGTGGCGTCATTTCACCATCGGAACTGCCAGACTCGCCCACTCAGAGCATGCCGCAGTCTCCCAGGCGCAACAGTATGAACAGACAGTCTCCTGGTCCCCCTGTAGCGGCCAGCATGCGTCCCCTCCGCAGCGTCTTTGAGGATGATTTGAGCAGCTTCAATGTGGAGCACACACCGGCACTGTTTTCAACGGCAACGAGTCTGAGCAGCCTCAGCGTTGTGGACGATGAAAAGGAAGCGGCACAGCAGGCGGAGCACTACAACGAGGATGAACTGTTGCTGGCCAACTGCATCAACATGGGAATGCAGCGGAAGCCCACGTCCGCGGAGGCAGAGGAAACCACTCGCAGCTACTGCACCGAAGACACGCCCGCATTGCTCTCGAAGGTGGGCAGCCACACCAATCTGTCGGCCATCTCCGTGAACTCTTGCAACGAGCTAAAGGATCCCGATCCGCCCTCCTCCGCTGACGCAGTCTCCTCGAATACCTCGGACTGTGGCGGAGCAGCAGGGCAGCATTTGCTGCAGCAATGCATACGGGATGGCATGCAGAAGCAGCAGACGCAGCAGGATGATCCCATTGCCATGATGAGACGTGGAGGAGGCAGCCTGCTGCCGGGGTATTTGCCCTCCAGCGATGAAATGAGCAAATTTCTGGTAGAGGATAGTCCCTGCAACTTTTCTGTGGTCTCTGGTCTGTCCAATCTCACTGTGGGCTCCAGTCTGGTGGGTCCAGCGGTGCAGCTAAAGGAAACAGCAGTGGGGTAAGTATTTGACAGCTGCCAAAGGCTTTCATTTATTTGTGTTACTGAATTTCCTTAGTGCCAGCATGGAACCCAAAGCATCTGTTGATCAATCTTCATCCCGACCGCCGCATTGGCAAGATGATTCGCTGAGTTCGCTGTCCATCGACTCCGAGGACGACACCAATTTGTTGAGTCAGGTAAAAGATCGATCGGTCTCCCTTCGTTTTGCACAGCATCTGATTTCTCATCTCTCTTCCTTCCCCAGGCTATTGCCGCTGGCTGCAATAGACCCAAATCGAATCTTGGCTTCAGCTCGAATGGCAAGCGGTCCAGTTCGTTGAGCTCCTCGCAGCCCATGGCCATCAATGCGGCCACCTCCGCGTGCTCGTTGAACTCTGCAATGACGGTGCGCAAGAATCAGCAGGAGTCATACAGCTCGGTGGACTCCAGCGACTCGAACGACAACCAATCCAAGTCGCTCTTTGAGCTGTGCATACTCAAGGGCATGTACAAGTCCAAGCAGTCACAGTCACAGTCCCAGCATCAGGCGCCGCCTCCACTGCCTGTGACATCGCATCACAAGCAGTTCGATTCGCTGCCCGTGCAGCTGCCATCCTCTGGTGGGCAGCAGCAGCAGCAGCAGCTGACAAAGCGACAACGCAGCAGCCATCATCACAGCCATGGCCATCATAATCATCACCATCATAGGGAGAGAGAGCGCGAGAGGAAGGACGAGAAACTGCTGCAGGAGTGCATCAATACGGGCATCTCCAAGAAGATCAACGCCGTGCCAAAAAACGTCCTGACTACGTCTGCAGCTGTATTGGAACCGTGTCACCCAATGGCAGCTACTACATCAGCAAGTGCCCCCAGCACAGCAGCAGCTCCAGACGTAGAGCAGAAAGCGCACGCCAACAGCAGCTGCAACAACAGCAGCTGCAGCAGCAGCAACAGCACCAGCAGCAGCATTCCCAGCCCGAACAGCCTGCCATCGAGCAGTCATATCGCCGCCATCGGCACAGGCATCGACACAGCAAAAAGCCCAGCTCCAGCTCCAGATCGAGAGAACGCGAACGGGAACGCTCTCGCGACAGATATTGGGTGTAAGCTGGAGCTAGACTCGGATCGATCCAGCGACGAGTCAAACCAGTCCTTCATCATGGAAACCATGGTGCGGCTGGACAGTGCGCCACCCAGTGCCAGCTGCAGCTCGGTCTCGGCCAATGAGAAGCACAAGGATCCCGATCTGATGCTCAAATCTGTGGAGCGGCTGACCCTGGAGTTTGTCACCTCCGCGGAGCAGCTGAGGAGCCACAGTCACAGCAACAGCAACAGCAAGAATCAAAACCAAACGAATACCAACAGTCACAACACGTGGAACGAGAACACCTGCCCGAATGATGTCTCCTTTCCCAGCGTTAGCCAAACGGCGCCCGTGCTCCAGGCCTCGCTGAGCTACGACGACGATGATGTGGATGGGGATGAGGATGCCACAGAGGCCAAGTCTTTGGTTAACGAATTGGCAGAGATTACGCCCACCAACGAGGACCAGCCATCGCAGCCGCTATCCCTGGATGCGGAGACGGAAACGCAAACCCTAATGAACGGAACTCACTCGAGCAGCTCCTCGGGCGGCGGACTGAACTTTCAGCTGGGTGGGCAAGTGCAGAACGCGGGTCTGACGCCGCGGAGTCTGCTATTCAATGGCACCAGCTCCTCCATGATGACCAACTCCACGATAATTGCTTTTGAGGCGCGTGCCGTGGCCGAGAATCTGCTGCAGAATCTTCAAAATGAAGACGAGGACAACACCGAGCAGACGTTCAGCATGAACAGCCTGGATCTGGACAATGTGCGGCCGCCCTCGGGCATGGAATCGCTGAACAGCTGCTACCAGGATCACTCACAGCCCAGCTCCCTGCGCCTGCAGTTGCCCAGCAAGTCGCCGAGATTTGCCCGCAAGGCATTCCCCGCCAATCTGGTGGCACGGCGGGCCCTCGGCCACCTGGCTGGCAGCGCGGAGAGCGTGAACTCCAGCTGCAATCTGCTGGACAACATCAAGCCGCCGTCGCTGATGGACGAGCTGCTCGACTCGATGATTAGCGTGGACAGCATCCAGTCGGAAGTGGCCGATGGCGAGCAGGACTGCAGCATGGCCACCACCATCTCTGTGTCGAACTACGAGACGGCTGCCTGCGATGATCAGTCGTTCACAGTGCTCCAGAGCTGCTACGACGAGGAGGATGGCGATGAAGATGCCACCATGAATGACTTTAGCTCGGCCGAGTCCACGCCCAAGCAGGGATCCACGCCCTCTCCCAATCGCCGCTCGCTGACACCCAAACAGAAGCGGCGACTGGCCAAGGATCGCTTCAAGACCTACACCATTGCCAGCAAGAGCCAAGAGCTGGACGGACTTGGCCTGGGCCTGGAGTTTAATGAAACCCTGCAGATTGAAATTGTGGAGACAACGGCCAATGTGGCCACGCCATCGCCACCTCGGGCCAATGGCAGGCGGAGAGGCAGTGCCGAACGCTACAAGACCCAACTGATTGAGTGTCCACGTGCGCTCATCCTGGGGCAGGCCAACGGAGACGATTGTCCCAGCGAACAGTTGTCCTCCATTCGCGCCATGATGCAGCAGTTCACGTACATCACGGACATCAACATTGGACAGGCCCCAGCGGAAGAGCAGCAGGAGGATCACCCGGAATGCGATCAGAACTCAGAGACAGAGTCGTGTCATGGCCAGGAGCCGGAGTTGCCGCCTCCGCCGGCAGTGCTGGATATTAAATCACCCATTGCCGCGCCTCAACCGCCAACCCTGGAGCCTGCCACAGCCGTGAAGGTGGTGCGAGGACGCAAGAAGCCTGCCTACGTGTCGCCCTACAGCATGCAGAGTCAGCGGAATAGCAGCAGTGCCGCCAATCCCAAGAAGAAAACCCTCTCCCCCACCATTGCCAAGCGGACTGGATTACCGCCCAAAAAGAAGGCCACACCGCCGCCAGTTGCCACTCCAGCAAAAGCAGCAGAAGCAGCACCCGCTCGCCTGGAACGTCAGGGAACTTTTGTGAAGGACGAGCCGACAAATAGCAATGTGCAGGTGCCCGTCGTGGAGGCCAAGCCGGCCAACAGCAGTCCCAGCCATCGCGTGTCCAAGCTGCCCACAAAAAAGACCGCAGGAGGCGAGACTCCAAAATCACTCGGCGGATCTCCGAAACGCACTGTCACAGCTCCAGTTGCTCGACGGGTGACGCCACAGCGTGCCAATACCAGCCTCCGTCTGGCCGGCACAAAGTCAGCGGGAACATCGCGAGTGGCCCCCACCCGCGTGTCCACCACAACACCGCCCTCACGCAGCAATTCCAATCTGAACGGTAGCAGTGCAGCAGCTGTGGCGGCAGCCAAGATCAATCAGGCACAAAGTCGAATTGCCAACATCTGGAAGCGCGTGGACGAAGCCAAAACGAAGCAATCGTCCAATTTGAGGACACAGCAAACGAAATCTTCCAATACGCTCAACGGAGTTGGGCCGGGAACGGTGGCGGGTGCAGGTGGTCCCAAGCCGAAGCCCACGCTGCTGCGCAGCTCCACTTTTGATAACACGCCCGAGAAGGCGGCAGTTGGCGGCGTCAAGTCCAAGCTACCCGTTGTGGGTGCAAGGAAATAGATTCCCAAAAACTCCTTTTATATGTATTTTCACGCATTTTCGAACACGAACGGAAAACGCACAAGCAGCAGCAGCGCTAGAGTCAGAGTAAAAATCAAAGAGTTAATAGGATAGAAGGCAATATACATAAACAATACATAACATACGATAACCATTATATAGTAATTTATATAAAGTTATCCTTCTACTTAATATATATATAAATACGTGTACTTTGTAAGCAACCAGTCTAGCATAGCGATAGCGCAAAACTCCTAGTGACTCAAACTAATCGAAAATCACAGTCAGAGCATCCCCACGCCTGTACAGTGGGCGGTGGACTCGGTGTGTAGCCAAATGTAATAGATATTCAGGCCTTTCAAATGTGTACAACTCTTCTCCCATATATACAATATATATACAAATGCATATGTAATTGCTATATACTCGGTAGATATTGTTATTCAAAGCGAGAGGTTAATTCGGATTTAGTTTTTACATTTAGTTGTAAGAGTTACAGCCACAAGGAACGGCATCGTATATCATTTACGTTGGCTTGTCCCATTTGTGGAACTCTTTTTAGTATGCAAAAAAAAACCAAAAAATATTTGAGGAAAACAAAAGGAAAAACCAATTTTGTAGTCACTGCTTTTTAAGTATTTCTTTTTTAAAATAGACAGCCACTACCGGGCGTTGATCTTTTAGCATATTAATTATAATTAATTAAGTATGTATCCAGGCAGCAGCAGCTTTTGTATTAACTATTTTGTTATTTTCGACTCAAGGCGATTAACAAATTTGAAGATTAATAAAACGAAATGCTTTTCAGCAAACAAACAAACAGGTGAAATGTACACACATCATTGGATTTACTATCTAAAATCAGATATTAATATATTAATTACTATATCTAAGGCCCATGCTGATGAGAATCTGGAATGTTTTTGCAGTGGAAATGGCAACCAAGAGAGAGAATCAAAATGTCATCCAGTCGGAGCAACAGCAGCAGCCAGAGGTTGAGGATGACAGCGAGGCAGCAATCAACCGCGAGCCCTGGTACTCGACATTCATTCAGATCGTGATACCCTTCTTTCTGGCCGGGCTGGGCACCATAACGGCAGGCATTATGCTGGGCAATGTCCAACACTGGACCGTGTACAAGCAAATGGCCGAACTGTTCGTGCTGGTGCCTGTGCTGTGCGGCCTCAAAGGCAACCTGGACATGTGCGTGGCAGCGAGGTTCTGCACGCACTCGAATCTGGGACACATGAAGAACAAGGGCGACATCTGGAAGATTGTTATTGGCAACATGGCGCTGGTCCAGGTGCAGGCCATTGTCTGCTCCCTGCTGCTGTGCACATTCACGCTGACCGTCAGCTCCGCGGTGGCCCACAAGCTGAAGTTCGACAACTTTTCAACGCTGACAGCGGCGGCCCTTATTACGTCCAGCACCGCAAGCATGTTCCTCGACTCGGTGCTGATGGTTACCATTCTGTTCTCGCAGCGCTACCGCTTCAATCCGGACTACATGGCCACACCGATTGTGGCCTCCATCGGCGATGTGGTGACCATCAGTCTGCTCTCGTTCAGCGCCGCCTACCTTCACGAAGTGGGCAAGACGTACATGTGGATTAGTGTTTGCGTAATGCTCTGCTACGTGTTTATCCTGCTGCCCCTCTGGCTGATAGTGGTCCTGCGGAACATCTACACCCGCCCGCTGCTGTTGATGAGCTGGATACCAGTGCTGGGTGCGCTGTGCATCAGTGAGTTTGGGGGCTTCGTGCTCGGCTCGTCGGTGGAGCAGTTCGGTGGATTTGCCATCTTCTCGCCCATCATCAACGGCATTGGAGGGAATCTAGTCTGCGTGCAGACCAGCAACATGGGCACCATTCTGTACAAGCGCTCCAAGCTCGGCCAGCTGCCCAAGGACACGCGCATCTTTGAGTGGCCCCACAGAGTGTACTTCTATGGCACTGTCTACTCCCACGTCTCGCGTATTCTGATTATTCTCTCCATTCCGGGCAACCTAATTCTCGTGTACATTGCGGATTATCTCTACAAGTCGCACGTTTCAGTTGGTGTCGTGTTCCTCGGCTCCTTTGCCCTGACCAGCCTGCTGCAGCTGCTCATTCTGCTGTGGAGCGCCCACTTCCTGGTGCATCTGCTTTGGCGGCACAGGATCGATCCGGACAGCTCTGCAATTCCCTATTTGACGGCTCTGGGAGATGGCCTGGGCACGGGCCTGCTCGCCATCATGTTCCAACTGCTGCGCTACGCCGACTACGAATACACTGCCAAAGAGCCTTGGTTGAGGTTCAACTTAAACTTGTAAAGCTTCAAGCTGCTACATTTTAGGCGTGTAAGATTTAAATAAATCTTAAACCGCGCCTCAACTTAAACCTCTGCCGAGACGATAGGTTCATAAGAGAACTAACTACCTACGATATATAAGCGAGATGTCATTTGAAGCGAAAATACTGTTAATACTAGGTGGAGAATTTATATATATTTTTTAAATCGTCTTTATTTAATGCTCTCTTCTAGCACTCTAGCACTTGTTTAGCATGTTTTCTTGAATATCAACATCGAGGAATATGAATTAAGAGTACGGTATATTTTTAAAATGAGATGGTATATTTTGAGGGTATGACGGTTCCGCGGTCACACTGAAAGTGAGTCAGGCGGTTTTCTCAGCGTGCGATTGCAATTTAATTTATTTCGTTTTTTCTATTAAAAGTCATAAAAAAACACACAGCAAAATGTCGACCATGGCAAGTCCTTTATCCATTGCGGGCACGCGGCAGTCTGGAGCGCCGGTGCGCACACAGAATGGTAAGAAACATTTGCATTTAAGAACAGCTGCAGAGCCGCGTCTGTCTGACTGCCGGTGGGGCGAAGCACGTTTCTGGTCAGGCGGTCTCTTGCGGGCCCGAGAATGTTCCCGAACAAAGTTGTGGGAGGGCTTCGCAAAAAGAAGCGATGATTTATCTACTGAATGCATACTATAAGTGAAGATAAACTGAGTTATCCCGTAAACATTGCAAAGTGAGGTTATGACTCCATTTTCCTTTCTTTCTTTTCCGTCCATTCCTTAGTTATGGCAGCACTGTCCATATCCAACATCGTGAAGAGCTCCCTGGGACCGGTTGGCCTAGACAAAATGCTGGTGGATGATATCGGTGATGTCACGGTGACCAACGATGGAGCCACCATCTTGCGCTTGCTCGAGGTGGAGCACCCAGCCGCCAAGTAAGTAGAAGGCAACGCACACACATGTTAATGAACATTGATTGTGGTTTTTGAAGGGTTTTGGTGGAGCTGGCACAGCTGCAGGACGAGGAGGTTGGAGATGGCACCACATCTGTGGTCATTTTGGCCGCCGAGCTGCTGAAGAACGCCGACGAGTTGGTCAAGCAAAAGATCCATCCCACCTCGATCATCTCTGGCTACCGTATTGCCTGCAAGGAGGCCTGCAAGTACATCTCGGAGCATCTGACTGCCCCCGTGGACGAGTTGGGTCGCGATACTCTGATCAACATTGCCAAAACCTCGATGAGCTCCAAGATTATTGGCGCTGATGCTGATTTCTTCTCCACCATGGTTGTGGATGCCGCCCATTCCGTCAAGATCACAGATCCCAGGGGCCAGACCGCTTACTCGATCAAGGCCATCAATGTGCTGAAGGCCCATGGAAAGTCGGCCCGCGAATCGGTTCTGATCCCTGGATACGCTCTCAACTGCACCATTGCCTCCCAGCAGATGCCGAAGAAGATTGTAAACGCAAAGATTGCCTGCTTGGACTTTTCGCTGCAGAAGACCAAGATGAAGATGGGTGTGCAGGTGCTGATCAACGACCCCGACAAGCTGGAGGCCATTCGTGCGCGTGAGCTGGACATCACCAAGGAGCGCATCAACATGATTCTGGGCACTGGTGTCAACGTGGTCCTGGTCAGCGGCGGTGTCGATGATCTCTGCATGAAGTATTTCGTTGAGGCCGGAGCCATGGCTGTGCGTCGCGTGAAGAAGAGTGATCTAAAGATCATTGCCAAGGCCACTGGAGCCGCCTTCCTTACCTCTCTGACAAACATGGATGGTGAGGAGAGCTTCGATGCCTCTATGGTGGGTGAAGCCGCTGAAATCGCACAGGAGCGTATCTGCGATGATGAGCTCATTCTCATCAAGGGCACAAAGGCACGGTAAGTTGCAGATTCAAAAGCTCTTCAAATGAAACAGATTTTGATATACATTTTTATTTAGCGCTGCCGCTTCCATCATTCTCCGTGGTCCCAATGACTTTTACTGTGACGAAATGGAGCGTTCCGTGCACGATGCCCTGTGCGTGGTGAAGCGCGTGCTGGAGAGCAAAAAGGTTGTTGCTGGCGGCGGCTGCGTGGAGGCCGCTCTGTCCATCTACCTGGAGAACTTTGCCACATCGATTGCCTCCCGCGAGCAGCTGGCCATTGCCGAGTTCGCCAAATCGCTGTTGGTCATTCCCAAGACACTGTCCGTGAATGCGGCCAAGGATGCCACGGATCTGGTGGCCAAGCTGCGCTCCTACCACAACTCCAGTCAAACAAAGCCCGAGCACTCTGAGCTCAAGTGGACCGGCCTGGATTTGATCGAGGGTGTGGTCAGGGACAATAAGAAGGCTGGTGTGCTGGAGCCTGCCATGTCGAAGATCAAGTCCCTGAAGTTTGCCACTGAGGCAGCCATCACCATTTTGCGCATTGACGATATGATCAAGCTGAATCCGGAGGACAAGAGCGGCAAGAGCTATGCTGATGCCTGTGCCGCAGGCGAGCTGGATGGTTAAGGCAAACGCACTTATGACACATCTTCTACTCTGTTTAGGCATTTAATTTTAATCAAAACACAACCACACGCAACGCCACTCATTTTCAATTGTCGCCCCGCACATTTCCCATTTCATGTAATAACAATTGAATTGTTTTGCTAATTGCGATTTGTATTAACACCGCACATCTGTAATCCGTAATCCCTTCTCATTCACGCTTCAAGGCATAATAAATGAAACTTCAGGATATGCTGAGGCGCCAACTTAACTGGAGATCACTTGTTTATGTTTCTCCAATTATTTTGTGGGAGAACAATCTATTGGCGAGAGAGCGCTCCGCTCCGGAGAGTGGATCCTATAAATAGCGTTTGCATCTATTTCGTTTCGTGCTGTCTATAAATACGGAAAAAGAAAACATCAAAAAGGCAGAGCAGCAGCCATAACGCACATTGCTCAGAGAATTTGTTCGTTTCGTAAATTTTTGGTAATAATTTTCCATAAAGATAAAATGTCCGAAACTATTGACGAGGGCGCTGTTGGTGGCGATGGCGATGTGAACAATAATAACACAGATCTGGCCACGGCCAACGAGCAGGAGGAAGTGCAGGCACAGCCACAACTGGAACAGCAGCAGCCACAAAATGAGCTGCTCGATATGGTTTTCACATTGGAGAGCGAGAAACAGGCGTTGCTAGAGGAGTCTCGCAAGAGAATCGGAGCACTTCGAAAAGATTTTGAGGTTAGTATCGAACATGGCCCATCCCTTGACTGAATCTGCATCGAACTCTATTCAAGGAGGCAAAATTCGAGAATGAACGCTTGAAGAAGCGTGTCGCACAGCTGGAGCAGGCCCTCAAGCAGTCCGTCATGCTGGGCGGCACAGAGGCACCCAAGTCTCGCCAAGAACAGGAGGAGCTGCTGCTCAAGGCAAAGACGCTGCTGTTCGAGAAGACCAAGGTGAACAAGCAGCAGGAACAGCAGATCTCTGTGCTGAAGCAGCAGGTGGAGTCCGTAAAGGAGGTGGTGCAAGTGACCAAAGACATGCTGCAGCTGAAGACGACAGAGTGCGAGCACACACAAGAGCGTCTGGAGAAGAGCCAGCTGTGGATCAAGGCCGAGCAGGACAAGTGTGCGCTGACCGAGAAGAAGCTGGTTATATCCAAGGGCGTGTACGACAAGTTGCGGGCGGAGTACGACACACAATCGAAGATTTTCAAGGTGGGTTACAGTCTCGACTTAGGTTATAGCCCCCCATTGACTCTTTTTCACTTTGTAGGAGCTGAGGTCCGCCTACGAGCAGAAGCTAAAGGTTCTGAGCGTTGCATTGGAGGAGGCCAAAAAATAGTGGAACAATTTAATAAACTATGTTAATTAAATGCACACATCGTGTTTATAAGTTTAATAATTTAATTCTTCTTTGTTCTGCTTCATCCCATACCCGTCACGCCTGCCTAGGAGCTCTGGTTGGATTGCTGCTGCTGTTGCTGGGCCTGCATTACCTTCACGGCTGCTGCCTGTTTCATTTCCAGCACGCCCATCACTGAGTTTAGGAATCGTGTCTTTTGCAGGTGTATCTTTTCAATTTTCTCAATCTGCTCCTGCACGTACTCGACGCGGCGCTTGAAGTAGTCCTTGGAACCCTCAAGGTCCTATCAAACAAACAGATGTTTCAGCAGACAGTCTGGGATAGTGGTAGGAATGGGGGTTACCTTTTCGATGTAGTAGCCGGTGCCGATGTCTATGACAAAGTTGTTGAGGTCCTTCACGCGTCCGGGCACGTACATGCTGCTCGTCAGCGGCACCAATATCTGACGGTTCTCCCAGTCCGGCTGGAACGTTTCCAGCGCCTCTTTGGAGCCAGCGTATTTGGCTTTGCAGCCATGCAGAGTCGACAGCGACTCCTGTATGTTGCCCATCTCCTGCGGAAACACAGGCAAAGGCGACTTTTATTAGCATGTGCTGCATTCTGCCACTCTCTTGCCCCTCACCCACCGCCTGACTCACACACGCCGCTAGCCAGAAACACCCACACGCGCGACTCACCTGCTCGAAATCCTGCTTGATCTGCATCAGCTGGTCCGGACTGAGCTTGGTGAGATCGATCATCTCAGGCTTTGCGGTTGCGCTTGAGGTACCAGCCATTTTTATTGATAATTTATTTATTTTTTATAATTTAAAAATTTCCAACTCGGCAGTCCGATGACTGTCGATATTTTCTTGAAAAGGGTATGTTCGTTGTTTCTGTCGATATTTGTTGCTATCGATGGTTGCTGATGAGTGCATGCAAGGTGGTGCATTAGAAATGTTCTTATAATTTAAACAATATTATGCCGAGTTAAGAAGTCTGGTCGTGTTTAAGAGTTTAACAAATTATATAGTAGTAAAATATAATTTAATGGATTGATGTGTAAATTCCTTTGGTTTTTGATATTTCCTTGTACTTATTGTTCCAATCCGTCTGAACTTTTTTAACTTTTCTGATTTCTTCATCGAATGTTAGGGGTAAATTAGATATTTTGCCTACACTAGTGGCTGATTTGTCTAGTATATCAGTCTTTTCATTGATGGCAATGTTCTTGTGACCGTGTATCCAGTCCACAATAAAGTTGCTTGTGAAGGAATTGTCCATGTTCCGGTGGATTTCGTCTGATAAGTCTGAATTTGGTTCATTGCTCTTCAGAGCCTCTACTTTACTTACTTTTACTTATACTATATATTTTTACATTAGATATCTTTGATGGCGTTAATAATGCGTTAATAATACAGATATTTCATGCTAAACCATAGCAATTGTTACTAGGGTATTCTAGGTTACGTATACTATTTCCACCATCTTCGGTGGCCACTATCGATGTTTTCCCAACCCGAGTTTTTTGCGGAACTATCGATAAAGTATACCAAAATATACCTTGTCATTTAAAAAATATACCGTAGTCTTAATCATATTTCTCGATTTTGATGTTCTATTTGATATTACCAGCTCATTAAGCATCTCCGCGATAAAACTATAATTTTATCCGATTTGTCAATCAATTCTCCACAAGATTAACTAGTTTTCACTCTTCACAAATTCTACTCATTGGAATTTTTACAAAATAAGTTACGTGAGTGGGAATGGATTGCTACGTATTTGACAATTTGTTGCTTGTCAACCGGTGGGTATAGTATATTTGGGCATTGTATACCCTATTTTTATAAATGAATGTTAAATATATGTTTTCTAGGACGATTTGAAAGATAATTAATTTTGACCACCAAACTGGGGAAATTTGGAATGCAAATTCCACAGGAACTCAACGGGAAAACTCAATCATTAGTTGTTTTTTCAATTATATTTTATTGTATTTATTATATGCAATGTTATAATTCTGTGTTTTGTCAGTCATTCTGTATTTGTATGCATTTCGTATTTGTTTTTCTCGTAAATTATAAAATCTAACATAAAACAAAGCAATTTCTTTAACAATCACTGCCGCTACATATACATATACACGTTACAATTTGTTAATTATATATATATATATATATTTGTGGGTGTTTGGGTGTTGTTGTCGCTTTATATATGTATATATTAGATAACAATGATATTAAGCCTAAGTAGAAGTAAGTTTTAGTACTGATATTCGTACCTCGCTCTCTGCAACTTCGCAATCGACATCGCCATCTCCTGTTCCCATGACCAATGGCCAATTGATCTATTTCTCGTAAGTTACATGCATTAACTATTTTACTGTTACCCATACAACTAACTGTACTTGCCTTGCTCTTACATACATATATCATACATACACATAACATTTACGAGTTTACCTTGATTCAATTTAGGATTTTTTTCGGGATTGGTTCTCTAATAAATTGTATCTTATTTTGGAAAAACGTAAATTGCATGGCGTGTGTTGAAAATGTTCCAATATATATTCTCATTCTGATTTCGTTATCGAACCTGTGTGTGTGTGTGTGGTTGTGTGTGTTGAAAAGCAAACTTTTGATATAGTATAAGTACATATTGAATTTGGTTTTAACTGGAATCGAAATGAATAAACATTTGTGGTTTGCGATTAGTTTAAATGCAGAGATTTCCTTGTGCAGCATTAACATTGTGAGGAGATAGAGAGAAAGTTGGTTTTTGGGAGAGAGTGTTACATATAATATATTCATTAAGTGGGAATGGTGGTTTCCTATCAACAGCATTCTTTCCATTCGAAACTCTGTTGCTTCTCGTTTGGTTTCCATTATTGAATCGAAGGGACGTTGTACATACAATACATAATACTCAGTAATCGTAGTTTTTATTTTTTATTCTTTTGTTAATTATACATTTTATCGTATGCATTGTATGTATGTATAGATGATGTATAGATGATGTATACATTTATAAATAGTATAGTTTGGTTTTTAGTGTATGTGTGTGAGTGTGTGTACTGGTAGTTGTAATTGTCCTAGGTGTCGATTTCAGCTAGATTCGCTAATTTGTCTTGTGGATTTTTTTATTTGTTTTCCTCCGTTTGTTCCGTTCGTTTTTGTATACAAGTTTGAGGGTTTTAAAAAACTCGAAAATATATCAAAAATTTCTTGAAATGCAGTATATATGTTTGTATTTTTGTTGTTAAATATATATATGTATATGTATAAATGTGTGTGTGTGTGTGTGTGTATAGTACTTTCTTTCTTCCTTACATGGATTTACATTAAGAATTTTGAGAGAAAGTCTATGAATGTCCAAGTAATTTCGCTAGTGAGTGAATTTTTGTGTAGATGTGAGTGTGCGTGTACAAGTAGTAAGTGTATATAGTAGGTTGTCTTGTATATAGAGTCCAAAATGATACACTAACTGGTATACATACTTATATAACGTGGCAAATAGTGTTAATATAGAGCATCAAAATGATATTACTTTGTGATTATATTTTGTATGCTATGGTATACATGATACAGTTACCAATAAAAAATAAAACAATTAAAACAACAACGAAAACGAAATCTCGCTTCTAACTCTGTTGTGTGTGTGTGTGTGTGTGTGTGTCCGTGAGTGTATCTGTGTGGGTGTAAGCATGTCTGTGTGCTGGCTGCTGCTGCTGATTGTGTATACGTCACGTATGCCGCCTCGAAAAATACGCTTAAAGCTGCTTTAATACTGTAAAATTGTTGCTTGGGTTTGTTCTTTCCGGTTTGTTTGTCTTTGTTTATTTTTCAGTAAAGTAATGTCTTTCGCTCACATCTGATAGCAGTTGTTGTAAAAAAGCTAGGTAGGTTCGCTTCAGTGTTAAAGTGTGTGTGTGTGTCATAGAGTGTCATAGATTAAGTGTAAGAGTGTGGTGTTCTGGTGTCTTGTCACTTGATATGTCTGAGTTCATATTGCACACAAGTCGCTGGCAATATATAGTCTCAAATACATATACATATTAAAAAGTATACATGTGGGTCTGGGAATGCTTTAGGGACTCAAACTCAAAGACTCAAAGTCGCTGCACGCAAACGAAAAAGTCGCCTCACGCATACGTACATAACATACATACATACATACATACATGTGTATGTAGTAGTGGTACATCAACCAAAATCGAGTTTCTCTACTGGGTGTATATATTCGTGAGTGTGTTTGTTGTGTATTCGCATTACGATTATTTTTGTTTAATACTAATCTCCATTTTGTGAATCGATTTTGATTTCGATTCACATTTTTTGTTGTTTTTCTTACTAATACTAATCTCCATATTTGCATTCTCAGCATTTTGTTAATCGATTTCGGTCTCGAATTCGATTCACATTTACAATTTAACTAATTAAAGCCGGTTTCAATTCAACAAACAATCTGTAGCTTAAATTCTTGCATTCATCGTTATCATTATTGTAAGCGTATGCCCCCCTCATCCATTCCGAACCAATCTTGGAGGGGAGGAACACACTCACAGCACCACATTTTGTAACTTTACACGCTGCGCCTAGGCAAAGGAAAAGTAACCCATACAGAAGTAACCTCATTATTTAATGCATTCATATTTATGTACTCTATACGTAAGGATGTATTGTATATAAATATATATATATTTGTAATTAGTTTTACATATGTATATTGAATTTCTGCTAAATTGTTTTAGTGGCTTTTCTAGTAGATTTGTTGCAGTTGCAGTTGCAGAATTATTTGCTTGACACGTTTCGTAGCGTACTTTGTGGCGAAATATTTTACACAATTACTTGATTGGCTAGTGGCATAATTTATCATAACGTAGTGATATATATAATATATATTTATATATGTAGTATATATATATATATATAGTGTAGTACATATGCTTATACGCTGGCTGATGGCTGTGTGGATCTGTGTGGCTCTGTAGATCTCTTTTTTTAGCAAGTCTTGAGTTTGAAGCTATAATTTCATAGGCATAATTTAAAGTTGACTTCGATCTGATCTGCCGCTGATAGATAGATGCCTTTAAAGTGTTTATATATCTGCTTGCTAACATTATTAGTATTGTTATTATTATTATTATTGCCAACAAAACGGACAAAACCCCACCCGAATCGCGCATGGCGCTGCTCTTATTATCCTTCCATTCATTTTGTACACTCCCGTCACACGTTCACGCTCCTTCGTTCCTCTGACTGAGTCTGCATTTAATTAAAGTTATGAGGCTGCTAAATAAATATATATATTTATATTTATATATGTGTGTATATATATAGGTATATGTTGGTTGGTTGTATGCATCTATGGGTACACATGTGGGGTATTATTTTCTTAGGGGGGACTTTCACTTTCGGCTCGCTTTGCACTACTTGCATTTTATTGCTAATTTGACGATAATTCCTCGCTCCTTTCTATCCTGTTTCCTGTTTTCTGTTGTACCTTACACATACCACTCCTTGACGTCCTTGGAGTCGCGCTTCTTGGCCTTGGGCTGTACGAGACCCGCCATTTGGGGCCTGCCATCGCTGCCGTAGCCAAGGGATCCGCTGCCGCTGGACATCATGCCGCCACCACCGCCTCCATTACCATTACCATTGCCATTGTGTCCATTGTGCACCTGCTGCTGGCTATGGAGCTGCTGTTGGCCCACGGCTGCGCCCTGATGGTGCTGCCGCTGCTGATGGTAGGAGCCATTGGTGCTGGTGTTGCCCAACAGCGCGGCGTTCGGGTTGTGCGATCCGTAGGCGGCTGCCTTTTCGCTCTCCGTCTTGTAGCCGCGATCCCCGTTCGACTTCAGCCA